CGGTAGCGAGGGGGCCTCACTTTTCGGCACTGTTTTGTGCGCGATGCCCGCAGGCTCTTTTTCACTCTGCAGCTGCTCCTGCTGCTGCATTCGCCGCAGCAAACGCAACTGCAGCGGGTCATGATAGCAGATGCGACGGCCTCCTAAGGACGACAAGAGAAGCTGCAGCTTGGGATGCTGCTGCAGCAACAGCAGCAAGCAGGTGCGTATAGCAGCAGAAGCACGAGAGTGCCAGTCCGGCCTCTCGAAACGTTGCAACAGGGGAGATTGAAGCAGCGCAAGAAGCTCGCCACTACAGCTGCAGCGCCGCAGACGCTCTTGAATACACACAAGAGAAAAGCGCTGGGCGTGTAAAAGCTGCAATGCAGAGGGCCACAAGCAGTGCGGCGTAGGAAACGCAACTGGGATGTTCCCGTCAANTGTAAAAGCTGCAATGCAGAGGGCCACAAGCAGTGCGGCGTAGGAAACGCAACTGGGATGTTCCCGTCAAGCCTCAGCTCCCCATACGGTAATGGCTCCTGACGCGCCGCCGCTTTAGCAAGGGCTTGGGTAATCCCAAGCTCATGGCGGGTGTCTATGCAGCAGTGGGCAAACGGAGACGGCAACTTTAACCGTGCCATTGGAAGACGTCCTCCGTCTGTTCCTGCTGGAAGAGGCGTCGTGAAGAGCTGCTGCTGGCAGCTGCTGCAGAGGCCCCACACGCGAAACTCCTCTTCGCTGTACAAGTCCAAGAATGCACCCGCCATATTGCTGCAGAAGGAGTTGGTGCAAAGCGCTCCCATCAGCGGAGACTGCTGAAGATGCTCCTGAAGCCGCTGGCCATCAATGACAACTGAGGCCCGCTCCCATTGCTGTTTGCGGTCCTGTTGTTGTTCGCTCAGCGCGCGCTGCCAGGCAAGAGACAGCTCCTCTAACTGCTGCAGCAGTAACTGCTGCAGCGTGCCGTCTCCCTCCGAAACATCCCGAAGCCGGTTTGTCGGCTGCTCCTGCGTTTCGCTGTGGCTGCCGACCAAACTACTCCCACAGCTACTGCTGCTATCCGTGCTTGGGCTGCTGTGGCTGCTGCTGCTGCCCTTGTTACTCCCTTGGCTACGGCTTGGCTTGCTGGATCTCTTACCCTTCACTCCACTAGTTGGGAGCAGAGCCTGAAGGTCCGTTTGTTTCTCCGTTGGAGCTACAGGCGCCTGCGCCTTTTCAGTAGGGTGGAAATGAACACGCAGCAGCAGATTCCCCTCCTGCAGCAGTTGTTGATGCCGTGAGTTCCCTCCTAGGCTGCTGCGCCACCGCAGGGGGGCTCTGTANCCTCCTGCAGCAGTTGTTGATGCCGTGAGTTCCCTCCTAGGCTGCTGCGCCACCGCAGGGGGGCTCTGTACTCCCACGGGCTTGTGAAAGTTGGCAGAGGGATTGCAGCCTCTCCCACGAAGCAGCGGCAGCTGCTGCTGCAGTGGCCCGTGCTAGCGCTATTGCTGGTAATGGTGGCCCATAGCTGCGCATGCAGCGCAGCAGAGGCAGCAGCAGCCGCAGCAGACGGCCAGCGCACGCTGAACCTAAGGGTATCCCCCCACAGTCCATCCGCGGAAAAAGATGTCGCCTTTTCCTCCCATGCACTCGGCTCCGTGGCAACGCGGAACACTACTTGCAACTTGCTGCCAAACCTCAGACCTTGCCGCTGTTTCTGTTCCTGCGTGGGCTCCAGCAGTTGCAGATTTGCCTCAAGAACGGCTGCCTCAATCTGGCCCTCATACGGTCCAATGATAGGGCTTTCTTTTGCTTTTAAAGCAGCAGCAGCTGCTGCGGCTTGAGCGTCCCGTAATGCCAGCTCCCGCTCTGCCCAGCTGGATACCTCTAGTGTATCTTGTTGCTGCCGTTGCTGCTGCTGTTGCTGCTGGTCTTGCGCGCTCTGTTGCCGCTGGCTGTCGTGTGNTCTTGTTGCTGCCGTTGCTGCTGCTGTTGCTGCTGGTCTTGCGCGCTCTGTTGCCGCTGGCTGTCGTGTGTCCTGAGATGGCTAAATAGGCCCTGAAGGAGCAAATCTCTCAGCTGTTGGTCGTATGCCATCTCCTCCCCTATGTAAGAGGGCCTCAGATGTCCGCTTGCACTGCTGCGCTGCCCTGCGGCAACAGTCAGCCGCTGCAGCGTCTGCTCCTGCTGCTGGAGTTGATGCAACAGCTTCTCTTGTTGCTGCTGCTGCTGCAGGAGTTGCTGCTGCAGCCGCTTCTCCTGTCGCAGCTGCTGCTCCAACAGCTCCTCCCGTAGCAAACGTTCTTTCGACCGCCGCACTTCAATCGTTTCTGCACCATCAGAGTCCTTCAGATGTTCCTGCTTCCGCTGCAGTTGCTGTTGAAGCTGCTGCCCCACTTCCTCCTGCAACTGCTCCCTGAGTTTTCGCCCCAGCTGCTGTTCCAGATTATGCTGCAGCTGGGCCCGAATGTGTTCCTCAAGCTCCTTCTGAAGCAGCTGCTGCTGCTGCTGCCGCTGCTGCTCCTGTTGTTGCCTGAGATGTTGCAGGGAAGCGCGGACCTCCCCCAGCTCTTTCTCCAGAACTTTCTGGACGTCGAATTCTTCGGCTGCTAGGCGTTTTACTTCTGCTACGAGTTCCTCCTTGTGCAGTTGCAGCTGCTGCTCTGATTCCTTTTTGATTGCCTTCATTTGCTCCTCGTACTTTGCTCGCTCCTGCTGCAGCAGCTGGATTGATGCTTCTGTTTCCTTCCGTTTCTGCTCTGCAGTTGGCTCAGCATCAGCACCAGCGGTTGCCGCAGTAATTACAGATCTGCGAAGATGCTCCGCATCGGCACCGGCAGCAGCACCAGAAACAGTCCTCTCTTCTTCGAGCTTCTGCCGTTGGCGGCTTAAGTTTTCTTGATATTCCTTCAACGCAGTCTGCAGTTCTACGGCATCTTCCCCCTGTTCCACAAACCGCGCAACAGTGCGCTGTCTCTGCAGCGGCTGTCTATCCTCAGAACCGCTCGGGACGATGCTGGGCATCTTCCTAGGTGTGGCGGCTGCCGAGGGGGGGCCCCCTTCCATACGGGGCCCTATGGAGCCCCTGGCAAGTGCCTTCCGAGGGGCCTTCTGCCGCAGGGCTCTAGCGGCTTTCTTCGCAGCTGCAGCCTCTGCAAATGCTCCTAGAGCAGCAGCAGTAGGAGAAAACCCAGGANAGCGGCTTTCTTCGCAGCTGCAGCCTCTGCAAATGCTCCTAGAGCAGCAGCAGTAGGAGAAAACCCAGGACCCTTTCCTTTCTGTTGCTGCTGGGGTTGTTGTTCCTGAGTCTGCGCCTTTTTTCGAGGGAGGTATCGGTTTCTGGGTGAGAACTGCCTTTCCCACTGGTCTTCTTTCTCCTGCTGCAGCTGCGCCTGCCTCTCTCCTAGCATGTCAGGAGGCCCCTTAGTCCCTCCCCCGCGGCGTTGTAAAGGATGGGGGGGTCCTGGAGCTGGAAGGGGGCTCTGATCACCAACGTGCTTATCTCTGCAGCTCCTGCTGCAGTAGTCGGCGTAGTGACCGTCCCACTGCAGCCAGGCGTCCGCCCCGCACACCTTGCAGTGGGGCCGCGCAGCTCGGGGATCGAAAGACTCCCCGGGGGAATCCTCCTGCAGCAGGAATTTGAACAGGGATTCCATCTTTAAGCGGCCGCCACCCAGACATTCTCCCTACACGAACTCTGGCGGGTGCACAGTAAAGACGATCGGTGGCATCCGCTGCGGAAAGAAGGAGAAATAAAGCATGCAACCACGCCACTGTTTCTTAGGCTACTGCTCCTCGTGTTGCTGATGCTATCCTGCCGCTGCTGCTGTTGGCTTTAACCTGCTGATCCCTGTGTTG